TTGATAGAAATGTAGTGGAGTGAAAAGTACAATATTTGTCTTTCAAATGTAGTGAAGTTAAAGTCATAAGTTCCCAGAAGAAATAATACTCAAGTAAAGTACAGATACTCAAAAAGTGTACTTAAGTACAATACTGAAGTAAATGTACTTAGTTACTGTCCACCTCTGGAGTTAATATATTATAGAATTTAAACTTCAAGGCTATGAAAGCTGAACAAAACAGCGCAGCATTAAGCTCAAGATTATGCATGTGAAACATTAAACATTTATGGCTGCATTACATCTGCAAATCATTTTTTCCCTTTTTTTTTAAGTTAGAAGAAAGTTTTTTTTTCTTGTGTTAAAATTACTGTTGAAAATGATCCAGTGAACATTACAGTCAGGTAATTTGTGGTACACTAATTATAATAAGAATGTGATTTTATGTTGCTATATAAATGATCCTAAGTTTGTAAATTTAAACATTTTATAGACTTTAAATTTCAAGGCAGTAAAACTTTAGTTTCTGCAAAAAAAAAAAAAAAAAGAGAGTGGCAGTCTTTGTTGTATAAGAAAAACTTTTTTTTCCGCAAAAAAAAAAAAAAAAAAGAGAGCAAGATTTGTATCCATTTCTGTTCTTCTACTGGAATAAATGAATTTTTGTGTTAAAAACACCGTTACATCCAGGTAAACTTGTGGATCAGCAAGTAGATGTTTCCTCAAAAAAATAAAATAAAATATAAATAAATAAATAATAATAAAAGTAAATATATAGTAGTACTAATACTAAAAATATTTAAAAATAAATAATTTTAAGTGGTGCTTTACAAAACCCTCACCACAATTTTGGGTGGTTGCCAGGGCATTGTTATGCGGTTGCTACGGTTTTTTGTGTGGTTGCTTAGTGGGCCAAGTCCACCCTTCTATATTATTCAAGTCTCAGAGCGGAATTGTTTTTATCATCCATCAGGTTAAAGTTGTATTGGTGAAAGCAGCAATTATGTTATAATGTATGTGGGGAAATGTGCTTTATATTCAACAAGTTAATTCTAAGGCCTTATGACCAATAAAATATTGTAGTTTATGTTGCATTCTTATATTATTTAGTGTATTATTTTCGTGTCGTGTGTTACCGTGATGGTGGTTTGTTCTGTCTTTCTGCCATTCTTACCGCAGTTGCTGATAGGCCAGAATCTGTTTGTGCTGTTATTAGGACATTTTACTGTAACCAACAGAATAATAGCTCAAATATTTTGACATATATCACCATTGTATAATTCTATTACGATATTCCACGAAATACCTAATTCTGGTTTTGTCAATCACTGGCCAAACAAATCTAAAGAATCGACCTTCATCCATCCGGGAAGCCGATCTCCAAGTCGCGTACTGTGTAGAAGGTGGAATGCGTCAGAAGTTTGAATAGCTAATTGGCGCCATCTAACGGATATACGATATGTATAGTAAATGGCCTGGAAGGATTAAGTATTACTTTTACACTGAACATAGCCTACATTTTGATTTCTATGAACGAAACATCGGTTGGCGGGGAAAAAAACAAAAACAAAAAACAACGAATCGCAAAGATGCACTGATAAA